ATTCTAGCTCTTCACTTACCACGCTTAAGTTTTATTTGCTGTGTATGATATAACTGTAGAATTTGTATGACTGACAGGTGGACTAGAACAAGACTCAAAATAAACTGATATTGTACGAGGCTTCGTACTTTATTTTAGTTTATATTAATTTTCAGATATTTTGAAACAATTTTTCTTTCTCCAGTCTGAAGTAAATAAATGTACTTAGAAATGTGTCCCAGTTGATTAGCGAATTGAAGTTGATGACAACTTGAATATAATTTTAGTTGACTGTAATTTAACGATGTTTAAATCTGACATGTTAAATCTGCAATTCATTTTCTTTAAAAAGTCATGCGATAATTACGAGTGAACATTCTTCAGCTCAAGTTCTGCAACGCTATGCGTAATTAGTATTATTCCTGTTTAAAAGCGCGGTCGACTCTTTGACGCCCTGATTTTCACGGTAATGTGAAATACCCTTTTCTGTTAGATTAACTGTTTCGACTGTAATCAGTCAGTATCAGGTCTATAAATTATACATACGCAATACTTTCAGATGTTTCTAACGAGACGGATCCTAGTTCTTGATTTGATGTTACAACGATGGTTACTGCAAAATACTGATTACATTAACAATGCGCTTTTCTGATATGATGTAACCGTTCTTCAGAATTCAAAATTACACAGTGTCACAGAAACTGCAGCGCGAAACACATAGGCGGGCCATGAGTTGGTAAACTCTGGTGCAGGATGTCTTTAATCTCCCGAAAGATTTCACAGAACTGAAAAATTATATTTAAAGTGTGGCTGCAGGGATAACTTATTACGCCAGTCTGCAAAACACATCAGAGAGCATTCTACTCTGCCTTCGGGAAGTCGGTTATGATTGTCGTCTGATTTGATTAAACGCAATGCTGGAGAGAACAGATTGCCGTTTTGTTCGGTTTCGGATACTACAATCTTCTCTCTCTCTCTTTTGGCTATGAGTGAACTAGGTCACTAGAATTACAAAGTTCAGAACTCGTGCTTTATGCCTTAGAATTTTCCAGCAGACCACGCTTGTTAAATTATTGTTTTCTGTACTTAGCGATTCGTCAAGATATATTCGTAATTAATTTGTTCGCGTAAAGTACTGACGTCACAATAAGTTTTCGGCATATTGTGAATAACTATAAATATTTAATTCTTCTATCTCACTTCCCTTGCGTTTCACCTGTCTGATGAACACTAACGAAGAAACCGCGAAAATGCACAAAGAGAATTGTTATGTCCACTCTTACTTCGTTGCTAGGTCTCCATCGTGAAATCTCAGGTTCAACATAACAAGAGTAAGCAATCTTTTCATCACCGCGGGCCGCAATGCCTAATAATATTTTTGTTTAGGGATTCAGAAAATATCAGTAATGTCGTGGACATAAGCGAAACTATTTATTTAACTTTAAGATTATAGAAGGTATTCACTTGAACACTGGGTTTTGTTTTAAAGACGTCTGCTCAACCAGTTCAGATATAAGGTCACTGTTATTTTTGTAAACCTTCGGTTTTTAATATCACAGTCTTTTTTAAATAAAAACTTAGTTTTCTTTCACGTGGTCTGAACAACGAAACATTGTACCTTGCTTAAACCTGCATCTACTGGAATATTGCGCCCCGGAGAAGCTAACGTGTTTCTCCTAAAACCTGGTATCCTTTATGAGGTCTAGAGGGCCCATTTATATTCAGGATGACAAAATTGACATGTACTAAGAAGGAATTTCGCTTGTAATAATGGTTATGTATTCTTGTGTTTCTGAGTTGTGTTCATCAGGTATCCGTAAAGAAATTGTCATTATTTGTGGTACACGGAAAAGAAAAGAAAAGAAAAAATGCTGTAGCTTTGAATATTTTAATTTTCAGACAAACGTTTTGTGCAGACATAACCATCAAACTCTGTGGACAAGAATCTTTATTGTTAGTTAATGTTCAGATAGCTAGTCCAGAAATCTCTCGCCTTTTTTGGAACCATTATTTTAACCTTCACACCCGGTGTGTTAAAATAAATATTTTCTTATCAATGCCAAGATCTCTCAAGAGGAATCTTCCCTTCGGATATTGACTAAATTTTGTAAGCGTCTCTTGTGTTTCCCATGCGTGGTACGTACCACACCCAAATCATCTTCTTTCATTTGATGAACCAAATACTAACGTTGTTGAGTAAAAATTATGAAGCTCCTCACCATCTACGTTTCCACGTTCTCATCCTAATTCTCCGCCCGTTTTCTCCCAAAATTCTTCGTATGAATCAGAAACGGGAGTTCAAAAGAAGGCGAATTAATACCAACGAGCATCTGAGAATTCGTCAGGGGCGGAACATTTATGTCGACTGTATTAGGCGGGATAACGTTTTCAATAACAAAGAATAACATTTTCTGTCTAACGTTCGTGGTTTAGTGGCACTCCACACACAGCAGGACCTATCAGCCAAAATGCATCATTAGCCAGGTAAAGCCAGCCAGGTGTTGTTAGACAGTTAACTGAGGGTTTTGCTCGGAGCGAAATGTTAACCAGGCTAATGCGGCTAACATGAAACCCACATGTCTTAAGTAATTCTTTCCAATAAGTCATCTTGTTTTAAGCAGATGTTTCGGAGCAAAACCACGTGTACATGCGGGTACTAAACATCATGTAAGATTACACTAGAAGTTGTAAAAGAATTCTGTTTTACCTTGCAGCCCTGCACACCAGCCGAGAATGATGAGTAGCGGCCACCACACAAGTCCACGTCGGATACGCACCATGGCGCACCAGGTACAGTACATGGCACACCAGTAATGTCTTTCGCTTGTAGTCTCTTATCTTAAGCCTCACACCAGTAATGATTTACATAACAAAATTATCTGGCGGAATCCCATCCTTAGTTTTTTGTATTGCACTGTGGAAGACATACCGCGCGCACCAAAAACACACACGCACACTTACACTTCATTGATTGTCCCGATGGAGAAAGTCACTTAGCCTAATTTCCATCAAAACATCTATTTCACACCGCAAATCCACATCAAACTCCTATTATTAGTTTTTATATTCGTCTTTTGTAATAAATTTGGCACAACTTAATATTAACGGGATGATATGCAATAATACACTGATCTGTTTTATTCGTAAAATAATTAATTAATTTTGATGTGGTTGCGCAAGTTTTTAAATGTAGAAGCAGGAATTATCGTGGACTGACCTTGCAACAAGTCACACTGGGGAACACCGACACCTGTCCGGGACCACACAACAGCAAGTGGGCGTGGTGAAGGGAGGGGAACAAGGTGCAAATAATTTTGTTTGCGTACACCGAACTACTACTTTGATATCTGATCGAATTCAGAACTTATGAAGGTCACTCAAAATGAAGAACTCTTCAAGTGGGCACTTAAATTATATAAATATATAGCCTCAGATTGTGTTACTCACAATGGACTTTGTTTTGAAAATACTCTCAAAACTCGTTCTTGTTAGAATTTCGTTTAAATTGCAGCTGGAGCTATTTATTATGACTGCAGAATATCTACGGAACATTCCACGATAAAAATGTTGTTTTTGAATCTCAGATTTATAAATACATTTATTTGCTAACAGCACGTACGGTGTCGAAAAGAATTAAGAGCCCACACGATACTTTAGTTAAGAATAGCAAATAGTCGCTGTTTTCTTGCAAAGTTGACGTACAGTTAAAGTTCTTCCAAGCGTCCCAGCGCTACGCGATGTTTACAAGTTGGATTCCGAAGAGGAAACTCCAAGAAACTTCCTAATGCGCTCCAGTTTCAGTCCACTTGTTGGGAGATCAAAAAGAGAAAGTTTACATAAAAACATCACTACAAAGATAATCCGAAGATAAGGTTCTTTTATGTCAGGTTCACAAACGTGTTTTCAACAAAGACTTATGTGCAGAAAGATACCAAGTCTGATTTGACACTGTTAAGGAAAAAAACCCGTTGAATTGTTTCCGTAGGCCACATAAAAGTTTTATAAAATAATCGGAAATCTTCGTCGATGGAAAACGGTTATAATTTCCAGTTGGAATGTAGGAAATTTGTTTGAACTGTGAGATTTTTTGCTGTTTGTGTCTTGATATAACCTGCGAGTACTTGGAGATGCGTTACCAGTTGCTTTGTATCGATATGTTGTTGATGTGCATTATCACGTACGGCGTGACGCCCACTTGCGCACCGTTTGCCGTTCGTATCGGTCTGGTGGAACCAAAGCAACTGAAATGTTGCAAGCTATCGGAGCCGTGGGTTTCGTTCACAAGTAGAGGGAAGCTGGGATCCACTACTTGGCAAAGCTGACCCCCCCTAGCTGTTCCAGCGTATCCCCTCCAAAATGCACAACGGCCTTGCGCATTGGCGCCAACAGCGGTAGCAGCCGTGCCGATGTGCTGTTGGTCGTCGTCCTAGTATTTCTATGACGGCACCAAGTGATGCTCTTGCTGTGAACATATTCCCAATTTCCTGCCCTGAAATGCAATGCCTTTCGTGTTCCACGGTTGTCCTCCACCACCGCCATTTCCAACCGCTCGCTTGTAATATCCGTGTTCCACTTTGGAATGCTCAAAATAGATTTCTTTTTCCCCCTTTTTTATAAAATGCTTTAAGACCTTCGTGCGTAGGAACTATCGGTCTGAAGAGATGGACGTGCAGACTGAAATGTAAAGTATTGAATCTGAGAAGCTAATTAATGTTCTTAGCAGCAGATACGTGATGAATACGGAGCTCTCAGTACTTAGTTTTCAGTTACCAAATATAACTTTGATGCACGACTCGGAAATTAAAAATTCACATTAAGAAATGAGAATATTAACACTGCTAATAAATATATGTTAATTATGTGCGTCGCTTTTATAATGCGATGTCTGAAACTTACATCACGCAAAGCGTTAGAAAATATTGGCCCCGACACTTGGCTCTCTAACTTCAGAACTCTAGCGCTGAACCCATTTCTGAAGCGTATGTCTATTTTGTGTCATGTTTAAATTCTTTTTAATAATTTCTTTACATTTCGGCATAAAATATCTTAGACGTCTCTTATTTTTTAATATAAACATAAATTAAAATGGTTGACTCCAGTCTGCAAGAAATGGAAGACGAAATATTTTCTGGTCGTATTCAGAAAGTTATTTCATTAACCTTTTTGCTGTTGACCTTGAATACAAGGATGGTATTTTTACACTTACAGTTTGCTCCCATGATTCTTTTTTGAAGAAAGAAAAAGAAAAGTGGATTCAGGGAGAGGTGATGAGAAAAGACGATAATTAAAAGAAAACAGAAATCTAACGGAAAACGATTTTAAGTCTGAAGGAACAGAAATTCCTGAGACACCACGGGGCACAGCGAATCTAATCACGGGAGCATAGGCCCACAGAGAGAACGAGTGAATGCTTAAAAGTTTACAGATAATCTTATACTTTTCAGTTGCCATTTTGTCTGTCACTTCAATCGATGTGCTTTTCGTTTATGGCGCTGGAAGAGTACCTCCAGGCAATTAAATGCACCTCTTTGGCAGAACGTACAATTAATCGGTCTATAAAATAAATATATAAAGCTTTGTAATGAATTATATGACAGAAAGAACAGGTATTTGCTGGAATTTGAAGAAGTGTTATTTATATTTTCGCTGCGACGTCCATTCCGAATCTTTTGTCATCTTCCTTCATCGGAAGCTAGGGCTTGAAACTGACCATTCCCCGTGACGTGATGTGTTAACACTGGAAAGTCGTGTCGCCATTCTCAGCGTTGGTATTGCAGAGGTAAAAATAATAAGTTACAGGAGTTCAGTTAATATTTGAGAACTTTTTCTGGAATGTGGGGCCACATGTGGGAGTACAGAAGTATGTGAAAGTTGTTTTCACTACACTAAGTGTTGCTACACAGTGGAATAAAGGGAAAGATTGAAAGAGACAGTGACAGAATGATAGAGGGGGGGGGGATCTTATTATAATAATGCGATTCCAACGGCGTCAGCTGCAGATGACATTTTCCTGGAGTGTAGAGAGTCGGAAACATTCGAAATTTATCGTTGCGAAAATAAAAAGTCTCCTTATTTTCAAAAATGTCCTCTATGTTTTCCGATGAAGCCACATTTTACAAACTCGAAAGAAACAATTTAGAGCTATGACCACGTTGTAATTTGTCTCCATTGATTTAATTTCGTGTTGGGACGGTTTTTATAATCATGACCATTTGTCTGCAGGAGAGGTACAGCTTCCAGTGATAATGAAACCTTTTGTATCTGTAACATACTGGATGTCTGTGCATAGACCTGTTATAGCGCAGAAGGTCATCGCAATGATAAGAATTGAAAGTAGTCTCAGGATATGGCATGATTAGCTAAATAACAAAAGGATTGTTTCCCAGTCTACCGCGATTTTTGGTAGCGGGAGTAATTATAAATGGCTAGAGTTATATGGAAACAACTGTACTTTGAGTGTAATAAACCTTAGCGTAGCGTAATAATTATAAAGCGTTCGCCAAAATGTGACCTGTATGAATAACGGAGATTCAGTTTTGGGATTTACCGCGCGGTGATTCCCCGGACGTCGAATTCCTCATTCAGCCACTTCGGTGCGCAGAGACACATGTAGGTCTTCGTATGAGATTCCGCATCGTTGTTGTTGCCGTCCAATTTTTATAAAATTTGTAAATTGCAGACAGACGTCTGTAAATTCCCCCCGATATTAAATTTTTATGAAAATCCATGAAGATGAAGGCAGAAAGGACCTATGAAACGTCTTTAAACTTATACGAGACTACACGGTGCAACAATCCAGAAGACACCATCTTCGGACTTACCGCCGTGAAAACCTCAAATCCTGCTTGGGAACAAATGACATACAGATTTAAATGTATGTAATTTTATCAGGTAATACTGTCTCTGAGACAGGACGGCAGAATTTACTTTGCATTGGCCTGTAATGATCAGTCCCCCACCCAGCAGGTCCGCTGAAGTTCGTACCACTGTGGATGTTTCTCGCATAACAGCAGAGCGGATGAGGTCGCACGATTTCACAGTTTACAAGCGTATTATGTAGCAGGGTGGAACGACGTTAACATATGAAGCCATTTCTATTTCTGACACATTTAATTGGTTGTTAAAAAGTCGCATCGTCAGTTCCTGCCAATAAATATTTGCGATTGGTAATTCCGAGCTGACTTGTGGACATGTGGAGATGTCATACATACATGACAGCTGCCATTCGGATGACACTTTTATAACCACCCGAGGATCGAGGATATATCGCCCTCATGCTGCGTGTCGCTTGGTGGGTGGGAAACAGATCTGTCTAAATTATGCCCTAGGTCCATTATGATTATTAACGTCTTCCATTGCATATATAAAAGAGGAGCGTTAGTTCCCGGTATTTGATGGAGTACAAATAGTTGCAGTGTAGTTGATGCTTGAAATGATATCGTGTAATTTATTTCTGATGATTAATCACTTTCTTTATCATGGTCCGTCTCTTCGCTGTATAGAAAGAAACGAATAAAGAAGATAAGAGATTGCAAACAAGAAACAAGGAAATAAAACAAAGGAGACAGTCCATGAAACTGGAAGATCAAACATTGAGAAAAGCGAGCTTAAAGAACAATCCTTGTTTGTTATTTTCAGAATGTATCCATGCTCCTATATTATATAATATGGTTATACAACGTGCGCGTAGCGTAAAAATTCTGGCGCAATCGCTAGAATTTGACATTTGCAAATGGTTAGAAATTTCCAGGTTAGGGATTGCCCATCCAGTCAGTTCCTCTCGCAAAATTGCTTGTGAGCGTCGTTTAGTTCACTTTGCATATTACATCTTCTGTTGTCAGATCTTAACTAAAATGGGGAAGTGTCGACCTCGCGAAAATTTATTCAGCTGTTATCCAGTTATAATATACGGACAGTCGGACAGACACGCGTAACGAAATTAATAGACTTAGTTTTGCAACCAACTTACAAAGGGTGCTGAATATTGTCGTATTTGTTATAATTTTTTTGTAGATTTCATAATGTTACGTTTTGCGCTTAACAGAATGTATTTTAAGAATGGAGACTGAGAAAGAGAAGGTTAGAATAAATTCGTTGCATTTTTGTCGGAGAATAAATGTATGTATAGTTCTCTAACACCGGCCATAACTCGACCCAGAGGTGCCTCGTGACTAGAATGTCTGAGTGTGTTGGAGGATGAAGGTCGCTAAGAGTCAGACGTGATACCACATCGACCCCCACAACGATTTTCCTTTCAAACTGCCAACGGACAGAGCAAACAATCAGATTTCATTTTGGAGTTTCAGAGCGGTATATGACTTTACTTCTAAGTACCTGACGTTCTGTTAAAGAATTCCCTAAAGCTATTTGTGGGAGGGATTGGAGAGAAATAACCAGTGTGGCGAAGTCCATTTGATGATGACTTAATTTTGTTTCGTTAGCATAAGACAAGGACTATTCTGTGTTGTATGAAATAGAATATCGAACATGTCAGCATATAGTATGTGTATGTGTTTCAGTTATTTTAATAACTGAAATTTGAATAGAGTATCTGATAACATCATTAGACAGAGCCGTTCGTCAGAAGCGGTTAGGTTCTCAGATGATAACGAAATTTCTCGCCTTTTATGAAACCTGAAGCTATTTGTCAGTCCAAATACTTAGGCAACTCTTACATTCTGTCTTGACGTATTTCCTTACGAAACATTGCTCGGTATTCACTCAGAATTTCCTGTAATCAATCGTATTCGTCTAGACTGATTAGGAACCGCTGAGCTGTAGAAAAATATTCGTATTGCTTCCTCTTTCTATAAACCAGAAACATTTTATAAACGACACTTTCATTTAAATTTATAAAGCGGGCTATTTGGGTACAAGAGAAGATGTTAATATTCCCAGGTACTTATATGCGTTTACATTCACGAGTGTAATCTATATTGTAACTGAAATAGAATAAAACTTAAAACTGAGAATATAAAATAAGCAAACAAACAAACTATTAACACTATAAATGACACTAGTGCCAAAAGCGTTTCGACTTCGAGAGGTCATCATCAGTGGCAAAAGGGAATTAATTTGTCATTTATAATATTAATAGTTTTTCTGCTTATTTTATATTCTAATACACTACACGGTATGCAAAGTTTTAAGATTAAAGCTGAGATTTAAAAGAAGCTTCCGAAACGTGTTATCTGGAAAACAGTTCCTTCATTTCTGCCTGTGTCAAAACAAACAGGCCTATATCTTAAGATCACATAAAATAAGAAAGCTAATTAACTGTGTATTTTTGTTTTCAGGCCAAATAAACTCAAATTATTGTGTATATAATTTAAATCAATTTGATGTTATCGTTTGCAGACCTACGTCTGTATTAT